CCGCATTTAACCGAAACGAAAGGTACAAGAGAACGAACCGCGGCGCTCCTCCCTTCGGCGAATATCGTTAGAAATGAAAAGCTAAAGAGGAAGGGATGGAAGAAGGAAGAAGGCAAGGTTCTAAATGTCTGGTCGGTGATATGGCTGCCATCAGGACCCACTTGCCTACCCCTACTTCGCGCAGTCGGTGTACTACACCACCCTCCTCTCTTCGCGATTATAACAACGTGCATCTGGGGCTTTTTATTTCCTTTCAGCTTCTCCTAGCGTTCGTCTGCCCGATTGTCGGATTCGCGTTCAGCTTCGCCGTTTTGTTTCACGGGAACGACCAGTTTCGCAATTTATGGAGGGCCGTCGTGAAGATCGTGGTAATGATGATGGGCGAGTACGAGTACAGCGATCTGTTCTCGGATAAGAAGAATGGGAATTCCCTCCTGTCATTCACGAGTAGGATCGTGTTCCTCGTTTTCATCATGCTCGCTAGTATGGTCCTGATGAACCTGATGATCGGCATCGCAGTCAATAACATTCAAGGTCTCGAGAAGGAGGTACTCTTGCTCACTTGTCTTCGATATCCATCACGTAAACGTCTATTTCAGTATGCTCGATGAATAATCAGTAATCACAAATAGTAATAAAATCATTTGAACGATTACATCAATGATTACATTTGAAAACCACATGGGAAAAATATTAGTACACTTTTGTTGAGTTTTTAAATTTCTATGTTACTTGGATAGATTTTTAACTTGTAATAATAACAAAAAACGTTTTAATTAATAATTCCGTAACGGTCCGAAGTTTTAAGCGGTTTAAAGAAAAAGATTTTTTTCCAGCAAGAACAACAGCAAACTTGATAACGCGAAACTCGAAGATCAATCAAAGATGCACAATTATCCAATCGTCATCATCCTTGGAATGTCTCAACATCTTTTCAACGACAAAGTTAACCGAGAACGAGCATGAGTATTAACTTGTGATGAATTATATATGTTTAATATATAATTTAATACATATAAATTTATTAAATCTATAAACTACATTCATTTATTGTGGAAACCGTAGAAGTGTAATTTATTTGATCGGAAGGAACATTACACGGAAAAAATTTTATTCGGATTTAATCCGAATGGAAAAATTTTGCTGAAATTTTTAAAACCAGAAACGAAAATAGATATTAATACTAATGGCCGGTGACATAACCTTAACGTCATGTAATTTCCAACTCTTACAATTAGTAATTGATAACATTATAGCGTCATATATCTAAATGTAAAATTTAGAGAAAATTTTTTATTCCCTAATTATTAAACATTATAGAATTACAATATTACCTGAACGTGTAAGAAACTTTGCTCTGCTGAAAAATAACAAAAAAGAACGTCAATGAGTCTACCTCTGAATTACAAACACTTATTGCTCGGAGTCGGTATAGTAGAGAATTCGTGTTATCGACGTAACCTAGCGAAGACTTCATTAAATATCGATCTGAACATAGATGTCTCTTCGATACCATTTTAGATTTTCAAATTTGCAATGTTAGTGTCACTGCATATTGAGTCTGCCTTTCCGAGCAGGATCATCGAATATTGGTAAATAAACATATTTATGAAATATATATTTGAAAATATGTGATACATCGTAGATAGCTGGCTTTTAGTTGTTGCGTGTGATTCAGAATCTTTTGTCATTCATTCGATATTTGTCGTATTTGATTAAATTTGCATGCTACCTTCAATGATCCTTCAAGTGACCACGCTTGCGAATAATTTTACGAACAATGAAAGCAATTTACGCAATTACATTTTGCAATTAATTACATTTATGGCAGCATACAGATTTCACATTATACTTCAATTAAAGCAATAATTAAATAGGATTTTAATGAATGTGTGTTTGACACCATACCGTCACCCTGGTATGGTATCAAACGTATATAATACGTACGTCTATGTACGTATGTTTTGTTTTTCAACAAAATTCATTGTCTCGGCGAGGCTATTGAAAAATTGTAATTGAAACGTTACAGATCGCGTGTCGGTAGATACGACTTTGTCAACGTCCAATCAAATATTTGTGCGATCGCCATGTTGTAAAAAAAGGCGGGAAGTAGAGGTAACAGTGGCATTCAAAGAGAAGTTGCAATTTCGCCGTATCGAGGATTATTCTGGATATTCTGGAGGTTCCGTAAGTTTTTGTTTCATTTTTTTTCCTTTTTTAATGCCGCTCTTCTCCAACAGTTTCTCTATGCTTTTTCTGCTTTTTGTTTTCTGAATTAGTTCACAACTTTCCAAGAATGTGCAGCACGGAATGTGACACATGCGATGTATACCTGAAAGTACCGTACAACTTCGTGCAGGCAGCATAATTGCAATTTGTTGATAAGATTTATGTAGGCAGTGGAGAATTTACAAGAACGTTAATCCAGGCACAAGTGAACACGAGTCGCGTTCGTTGTCGCAGGAATAATTAACGCGAAGCTCAACAAAGGTACGTGATTTTGACGTTTGAGGTTATTAATGCAAGTATGTATAACGTTTGCGTGTAAATAATCGAGCACGATCAAACGCGTTATTTCAACGGGATATGATGTTTTACTGTTTCAACAGGATCTCCACGATGAAATCGAGGACACGTCATCCGATTTATCTGAAATGTATCATGGTTATTTTGACGTAAGGCGAATACCAATGGTCGTACGCAAACGATCACTTACATCCACGTGACGCGTTCTCTTTGTTACGTGGTTCCAGAGATGGCATGAAAGTCAGCTTTGTTGCCGACTAATAAGAGGACCCGTATTTTTGTTCAGTTTTCAATTAAATACGGAAATCGGATAGGACAGTGGCAAGCGCATACATTACCATAAATTATCGTTCAGCCGCGGCTGTAAAGAAATCACGCGTGCACCTGCCTTAACGGTTGTAACAGGCCTGCTTGTAGTTCGCGATCTCATCACATTTTTATTTCCATGAAAAACGGCACTAGGTGTGCAATCGTTTCATTAAATTCCACACTCCCGATGAAAGAGAAGAGAGAAAAAAGGCGAAACAGGTGTTATCCAGTGAGATAAAAAGATTACTTTAATAGGTCGTATCATTTATAGGATCGACTTTGAAATGCGCAACCGGGACTGGAGAAAAATTCACGAACGAGTTTTCCTCAACTTGAGGAAAGATTTCCAAGTGGAATTCAATTTCAATTCACGTAATTTGCTCCTGGCGTAAAGACATTCACCAATCGACAGTGTCAAGAATTCGCCTCATCCTCCATTAAGATAAATCACGATTTTCAAGGCTGGAGATGGCTCATGCACTATGTAAGCTCAATGTGTTCTCTTTTCCTTCGAATTAATGTCTGTATTTTTTTATATCTTTGTAGATACAATTGAAACTCATGTTTGCACGGTCAGTAATGAAATCTTGTTAATAATTAAATAACAGAAGAAACAAGTGAACTGCGGAGAAATAGGTAGAACTATCCATCGATTGTTGTGAAAAGAGTGGTGTAATTCAAATGGGAGAAAAGAACCTGATGACAAATTGGATAGTAGAAAATAAACTTCTTTCGCTTATTGTTTGAACATAAGTTTTTGTTCGATAGGCGGAGGGATTGCGAGATAAGAGGATCATGGATGGCCCTTTCGCACGACGTAAGTGTAGTGTGCAGGAGTCACAGTGACAGTGGTGGCAGTGGTGACGGTGGCGGTTGCGACACTGACGGTGGGAGTAGCAGCAGTAGCAGCAGCGGCGGTGGCAGTGGCGGTGGCGGTGGTAGTGGCGGTGGCGGTGGCGGTGGCAGTGGCGGCAGAAGCAGCAGAAGCAATAGTGGCAATGATGACGACGAGGACGACGACAACGACAGCAGCAGCAGCAACAGTGACGGTGACGGTGACAGTGACGACGACGACAACGAC